GGGACAACTGTAATAGCATAATCAATAAAATATATTTTAAAAAATCTGAAACTATACATTCTAGCAATTTCAAAGCATGAGTCAGAATTATTGCTGTGCCCAACAGCAAAGAAAGTAAACTTAGCCCAAACGGAGTCACCAGTGACAAGCCCGCAGCACCAAACCAAGGCTTCACGCCTCACCTAGCTGCAGTTTCCACCTTCCCCAGCAATATAATCTTAACCAGTTGGTCTGGAATTTTCCAGTGAGCACCTATGAGGTCATCTGCCACATAGGCTTTCCACGGGGCGATGAGGTAATCAGTTCACTCTGATCCCTCCCCCCTCCTCTCTATAGAGGCTTTCCATTGCCTACAGGTCTCAGAACTCCTTTCCATTTGATGGACGGGATGCTGCTGGATTCATAAGTTGTTCAACACAGCCAGTTAGACCTGTAAATGCACTTGGTTGAACTTTTGTTATTTAGCACGCAGGACTATGTAATGCCTTTTACTTGATAATTCACCCTGTCTATGGGATTTTGATGAGTAAGTGATGACTCACAAATACAGAAAACAGTTGACACACTAAATTTTATTCCTCAGAGGAGACAATTTAGCAAATGCTAGATGACTCTTCAGTTTTAGCAGAAACATAACATTGGACTCAAGGATGCAACTAGCCATTCCTTACTTAAATGCTCCAATTCATTCTAGGCGTATGAGCCGGGGCAATTTCAGGACTCGGGTTTTACAGACAAAGATGCTTGCCCCTTTTCCCCAGAGGGGAGGATAAAAAGCTAGAACACTTCAGCAGTTAGTCTGGATGCCGACAAGGCAAGGGGCATTTATCCCGTGGAGTGGGGCTGCATAACTAACTGCTAGTTCTGAGAGTGGGTGAGGGAATCGGGCTGGGAGGAGTCATCCCGCAACTTGACTCAGCTAGTGGCAAAAAGCTCACAACTGTAGCTCATCCCCATCAGTTCTAGAGGACTGCCTGTTCATCCTCTGCTGTGCCCCTGGAGAGTCGTCAGCTCACGGTAAGGCCAAGTAGATCTGACGCCCTCTCTCCACCACTGGGAAGCCACCCACACCTCCTATGACGGACACCCTGCCAGAGGCAGGGTGATTCTGGCCAAGTCTGTTAGAAAATCCCAGAGTTCTCAGCCATAACTTTCAAAATTGTTAGTTCCCATGAAAACCCCCGGCATTTTCTGTAGATGGACACTGAACAATTAAACAAGAGTTCTGATGAGAACAGCTCCTTCATCTGGGTTATAATGTACAAAACTATGAAAGAACTAGGTAACACAGTTTTGAATGATTGGTGCCTATGTAAGTAAAGGCATTTCTTTCTAGTTTACACTTACTTAGAAAAACCTGGCCTCACGAAAAACAATTTTGTTTTTAACAGGTGAGATGCACAGTTTTTCCTTTGTTAACAGAGGATTTTATTCAGTGCTCTGCCCCAGTCACATGCAGAAATAAAGAGCTATTACACGGTGGATCAGGTTTCGTTTCAATACCAGGAATGAGTCATAAAAGATGCTAATTTGGTTAGGCGGACAGGCAGCTCTGGATAAATCCTGTTCACAGATTGTAGAGTGAGTGCTTCCTGGTTATTAAAAAATATATACGTCAAGCATGAGCACATCTCAGAATTTATCCACTGAGAATCACATTTGCACAAAAATGAATTTTCCAGGTACAAAAGTCAATATGTGAATGGCATATGATTAAAATTACCCAGTTTCTACTGCTGACGACAATACTGAAAATTAGGCGCTGGCCTCGCTGTTATGTTGTACAGTGTGTAATATGCACAAACACCACGAAAACCCTTCGAATACCCAGAAACACTCCACGTACATCCACATACACACACACTGTCCTTCTGCTCAGTTTTGAAGGAAATACTTTAAGCTTAGCTTAGCTGACAAGGACAAATTTTCCCAAAGAGTAATAACAGCCTGTGAAATAACAAGCCACTAGATGGAGATAAAGAAGGAAGGCATTCCTTTCCCCACCCCCAGCTTTATTGAGACATAATTTACGCAAAACATTGTCTAAGTTTAAGGTGAGCAATGTGATGATCTGACACACATATATATTGCAAAATGTTTAGCATAATAAGGTTAGTTAACACATCCTTCACCTCCCATGGTTACCATTTGGTTGTCACGGTGAGGGTATTAAAAATGCACTCTGTTAGCAACTTACAAGTATATAATACTGTATTGTTAGCTACAGTCACCGTGCCGTGCATTAGGTCCCCAAATGCGTCCCCTTTAAATGGAAGCCTGTGCCCTTTGACTAACCTCTCCGCGTACCTCCCACCCCTTAGGCCCTGGCAGCTCCCATCTACTGTTCTCATGAGTTCGGCTCCTTTAGACTCCGCATGCGAGATCACACTGTATTCTGGCTCTCTCTGTCTGACTTACGTCACTGAGCATGACGCCCTCACAGTCCATGCACGCTGTCTCCAATGGCATACTTCCCTCCTTTTCAATAGCTGAATAATATTCCGTTGTGTATATGTACCAACTGAATATTATGATGAGTATTCATTCCTTCATCTGCCGACAGACTTTAGGTCCTTTCTACGTGAATAATGCCGCAGTGAACGGGAGGGTGCAGATCTCTCCCATTCAATCTTGCTTCATTTTCTTTAGATAATACACCCAGAAATGGAATGGCCGGACCGTATGGTATGTAGTTCCGTTTCTAATTTTTGAGGAACCTCCATACTGTGTTCCACAGTGGTGGCGCCAGTTTGCATTCCCACCAACAGTGCACAAGGGCTCCCTTTTTGAGGTGCTCCTTTTTAATGTAAAAACTGCACACTGGCTTTATAAAGAGAGAACGCTCCAGATATTTGATTCACCTTTTTAACAGTGCCTTTCATAGCCCTTAAATAAGCCAACGAGAGCCCCACATAAAGAAGCTCTGGCTCATTCTGAGACTGAACACAAACTACCTGCATGGTGCTAGAGTTCAAACTAACCCTAGTGTGCTGACCTGGGAATCTGGGCCGTGCAGGCCGGAGGTGGTGATGGGAGTTGATTTCTAAGGCCCAGTGAGAAGGAGGTTTCTGAGCTCAGCGCCTGAGACCCTGGAAGTGGAACGACCCTGACCCCACACACCTCACAGGAGCAAGACTGTGCCCCCCTCCGCCGCCAAGAACCTCTTCTCCACCACTGTTATCTATCACATGTTTTCAGTGTTAAAAACACAAGCACTACCCAGTACTAGATAAAGGCCAAGAATCACTGTAAACAACATACCAAGTCATTATCATCAAAGGAATGTGAGGAATAAATATTTTAAGTGCACATCTTTGGTGGGACGACTAGATTAGGAATACAATTATACAAGGGAAACTGCAGTGAAAAATATCAGAAAGTATCCCCTTCACTTCAGACACCAGTCCCAAGTCCTGCTGTCACCTGTGCTTCTGACTCATCAGCTACAGACTGCAGAGGCTCCAACAATGCCCTCTGCGAGTTCCACTCATTTGCTGCAGCAGCTCAGAGAATGCAGAGAAACGTTAAACGTACTAGATCACCAATTTATCACAAAGGTCATAGCTCAGGGACAGCCACAGGGAAGAGGTGCACAGGACAAAGTATGGGTGGAGGGCACAGAGACAGCGGTCTCTCCACATGTCCACCAGCCCAGAAGCCCTCCAAACCCTGTCCTTCTGGGGTTTTACGGAGACTTCATTACATAGGTGCGGTTGATGAGATCACCAGTGACTGGCTGGATCTCCAGCCCCTCTCCTCTCCCCAGAGATCAGGAGCAGGGACAGGAAGTTCGATCCCTCTAATCACACGGTCGGCTGCCCTGATAACCAGCCCCGCCCTTAGGTGCACACAGACTGGAACACTGGACCCCAGGAAAGACCTGGAGACAAATGACCAGTCTTGCTGGTTCCTCGCCCCTCCCACCTCCCTGAGAACCACTGGGGGTCCAATTTTCCTTCTCATCGCCAATATCCCCTTCTGTGTCCCAGTCTCCTGGCAAGTTTACCTATTTACATTCCATCCATGGAAATTTGCGACCCAAAATGGACAAGCAAGCAAGCAGAAGCCAGCTGGTCATGAAATTACCCTTTAATGAGCATTTAATACCTGAAATAAACATTATTTCCAAGAGCACAGTTTTTCAAGGTACATTATATAAAATGCCAAGTTGTGTTTTTTTCATGGGAATTTAAAGGCACTATTTAGTCTTCCTTTTTGTATATCCATCTCATGCTGGCCACTCTGATACAAATCGAGCACCCCAAGCACCTCTCTCTAAGTAATATGAGAATTTTTTAAAGGCAGAATTAAAAAAAATAAGTGGCCAGCATGAGACAGCCTCTCATTTTACTGGTATATTATCATTGTATTTTCCTCATTTTCCCACTTCCCAAAGCACAGCTGGTGAAGGGAATGATGTTCCCCTTGTCAACTTCCCAGCTCCTTCCTCTCCCACTTGGAAGCAGCGCGTTCATTTCATGGGAGGCCACACGAAAAGGGGAGATGACTCGTCTGGGGCTGGGCAAGGAGTCTCAAGGTCACTCAGCACTTGCTGCACCCTCACCCCTAACAGCCCGGCACCCGCTCCTCCCACCCCAAAGTCCTCTGAAGAACAGCATGGTCAACCCTGGAATGTTCCAGCAGGGCTTCAGGACCCGGGGTGCCCGGTTCTCCCCCAGCAGTGCTGCTCACTCCCCAAACCAAGGTCTGAAAGGAGCCCCCCGGTGGAAACGCCTCCTGTTCTTCACTTCCAGGCTCACACACAGGGACTGCCACACATTCGGGTCACCCAACATCACAGCGAGATGTGAAGCTACTTCTTCACTGAGTCCCAACTGGACCCTTGCCCTCCATTTGCTGGAATTTTCTTTTATTCTCCCATGCTTATAAATCACTCTAGGGTTTGGGTCTCTGTCACTGAAATATTATTTTGGAGATCCATCTTGGCAGCTCGGTCACCTTTCCCCCATTAGCCACAATCCAGAAAGAAAGTTTCCTACCTTTCACTGAGGCTCCTCCACAACTGTGCACCTGCAATAAGGAGAAGTGAAAGGTGAAACTCAACTGAGGTGTTTTTTTCTGGAGGCATTTCCCAACTTAGAAACACTCTGACCTATCTAAAATGCAATGCTTACGTCTTTAAACTATAACTATCCCATCACGCTCTGTATATTCCTTTGATATGATAACTAATTCGGGCAATTAGTCCACAAATATTTACTGAGCTACTACTACCTGTGAAACACTTGGATAGGTACCACGGGAGATGGAAAACTATATACCACGTGGTCCTGCCTTGAGGACTTGACTGTCCAGTGGGGCAGGCAAAACCTGCATTCAAGCAAACACAAACCAGGGTGGAAACTGTGCAAGACAAACCATGAGCATTCCAGGAAGAAAGAAATGTGGCTGCCCGAGAAAGCACCTATCACAGAGGTGGCACCTATGTGAGCTCTGACACAGTGCTGACAAGAGGAGAAGTAAGACATCTTATATGAGAAAGGAGAGTTTTGCCTATTCATTCCTTAGGTGTTTTGAGCTTATATACAGGCTCAAATGAAATCAGCAGAAAAATATATACCAAGGTCTCATTTGCTTTCTTGTCCTCAGTAACTTTATTCATTGGACTATGCCATATTATTACATTTTCAACTACCAGCTTTGATGAAACGGCTAGAAGGCAGTTTAATGAAATGGCTGCATTTCCCATCAAATAGATGTCGTCTTTTGTTCTTCAGTATCCCCTATCACAGATCTAGGTGGTAAGTTCCTAAAATTTAACCCCAGGAATAAGTTTCCCAAAATTGCTTGCAGCCTTTCATCAGATCAGTAGAACTGTGCATTTGACCTGGTTTCCTCCTGGGCGTGGCTCCCAGCAAGCCCAGGGAGGAATCCGCTGCTCAATTATCGTCACCATGTTGACTCTGGCCTTTCTACGAGACCTCTCGTAAGCAGTCTTACTCTTCACGTCCCTTGGAAGCTGCCTCAAACATTGTGGAGTGAGATGGCATATCAAAACAAAGCACGTGAACAATGCAAAAGCATTAGTGAGGTCTCTGCTAACGCTGGAAAGCTGGAGAGACGACCTCCTAGAACACCAACCCACCTTGCCCCATGATGTTTCTCTGACAACCATGGGGTCAGGGGTGGAGAAAAGAGATAACCATTTGGGGGGTTGTTTTGTTACTAAACATTGAAAGAATGAGCATGGTCGCTGGCTGAGTGGACAGGGCATGTAGAATATAAGGACAGTCACACTGCAATCACGGGGCACAGACCAGGCTGGGGCTGCACAGGGCTGAGGGACAGTGCAACGGAAGAGGCTGAGCAGGAAGACACTTGAACTGAGCACCAAGAGCTGGTTTAGCAGTAGCAAGGGATGGGAGCCCAGGCAGAGGGGTCTGCTGAGAACTGACCTGCAGCCTCTGCAGGGGTTGGAGACGCTGTATTTCCAAAGGCTAAGTAAGGTCAAAGATGAGGCCACACTAGTAGGTGACTGAATATAGGTTGTTGTTCAAGCCATGAGGGTACAAACTGGAATGACGGAGAATGGAGGGGGCACAAAGAACTACAATTCCTAGGTCACAACTCCTGGTGGGCCATGTGCAGTTGCAATCAGCACGTGGCACAAATGGGTAGTGTAGATTTCACGGCAAGAAAGGCACGATGAGACAGCGGGTAAAAATGCTACACAGGTGGCCATGTGGAGCCTGGCGAGCCCAAAGCATCTTAACAGAGAGCTGGGGCAGACATTCTGGTTCTTTGCAATGAGGGAGAAGGAGGTGGTCAAGGAAAAGTCCAAGGGTGCAGAAGCTGTTTTCCACACTGCAGAAGAGCTCCCTAGAGCCCAGATGAGGCAGTGAATGCGTGTGGGGGGGGGGGGGGGCGCACATTGAAAGGTTCAGCGCTATAAGAGCAAGAGAAACCCATGGCGGCTGGAGACTGCCCACGGTGGTGACTCAAAACACAGACGTGGGCTCCTGTGGGTTTCAGGAAGAGTCATTCACAGGAAGGATCTCTACACTTTGCTCACCATTTCATGGAAAGCATCTAAGATGGTGTTAAAAAATAACAATAGAGGGAGAGGAAGATTACAACTAAATTCTTAACAACAGAAGTTTAATATGTTTAGCCAAAAATATTATGAGGCATGGGAAAGTTGGGAGGTCACAAAAGAGCCCCGTGACCCCTGCTGACTGGGCCGTCCTTTCCTCGTGGCTGCGGCTGTCGGCCAAGGAGCCTAATGAGAGCGGCTGGCAGTTTTGACCGAAGCCATGGCATTACCAGAAACTGCATCTGGATCTAATTTGAAGCCAATCCAATTCTGTGCCTCCCAGAGACTATTCATCACAGCCAGGCACTGGGCTGAAAGGCTGAGAAGTAAGGCTCCTGCCAGCTATTTACAGGCTCCAGACGGGTCTTTGTCCTGAAAGATTTTACAAAAAGCATGAAGCAGGAACCAGTGTTTCTTCAGTCTGAGACTGGGGTGCTGGGGAAGCACAGTTATCAATCCCATTTCTCCTCTTTTTTTTCTTTTCAATCAGCAAAAACGCAGTACTCAGAATAATAATGTCAGTGAAAACCCTGACAGAAAGGCTGGCCAGGGACAAATGTCTGTCTGTCCTACGGGGCAAAGCACGAGAGCTGCACTTGGATGGAGAGCCCAGGGGTATGACCGTAAAAGCCCAGTGCCCACAACCGGCCCCAGCACAGAGAGGCGTTCACAGACTGACTGACCAGGAGCGAACCCACATCACTCCCATTACGTGGCAGGGCTGAACAGAGCAGACTGTTACTGTGCCCAAGGCACTTCTGTTTTACCCTCTCGTTCGACCCTTACCCAGCCCTGTAGGATGGGTCGGTTTCTCCCATGTCCCAGGACAAGGAGGTTCACAGAGTGGACTAGGCACTAGGCTGAATAATGGCTCCCAAAGACATCAAGTTTTAGTCCCTGGAAATGGTAAAATGTCACTTTTATGGAAAGAGGGACTGACCCAAAATGTCACTTTTATGGAAAGAGGGACTGACCTGGTGTGATTAAGCTAAGGGTCCTGAGGTGGAGATTATCCTTTGCAGAGGGGCCCTGAATGCAATCACAGGTGTCCTTGTAAGAGGAAGGCAGAGAGAGCGTTGACTCAGACAGGAGTAGGTGATCTGGCCGTGGAGGCAGGGATGGGAGTGATGTGGCTATGAGCCAAGGACACCAGTAATCCCAGCTAGAAAAGGAAGGAGTCAGATCCCTCCCCAGAGCCTCCAGAGGGAATACAGCCCTGCTGACACCTTGACTTTGGCCCAGTGACACCGATTTTGGACGAGGGGCCTCCAGAACCGTGAGAGAAGAAGTTTCTATTGTTTGGAGCCACCCCATTTGCGACAATTTTTATAGTGGCTGTGGGGCACCAATTCAGCCTGCGATGGGGTCTCTGCACAGGTAGGAAATGGAGACAGTGAGCTCAAGAACTAGACACTTTAGGCTAGTACTGTCCAACTCTACCACCTTAATTGTTTTTAAAGGACAATCTTCGGCAAGGCCGACATTCCTTGCAATTTGTGAATATGCAAGTTCCCTATTTGCCGGAACATGAAGCCATCAAGTCAGTGCTGCAAACAATCTCTGTGTAACGGGCCAGGAGTGAGAAAAGGACAGGCGTGAGGTCTCTTAACTGCATCCTTGGCCTTCCACATTGGTCTGTTCCTTGTAACTTTTGCTGGGACCAAACTGATACACCCCTGAAAATACAGAGATGCTCAGCTTGCTCTGTGAGTCAACTTCCTGTACTGAGCTAAAATGACTATGGATAAAATTTGTCAGTGGCTATTTCTACAAAGATTTCCATGAGGGAGGTTCCAGAGGGTAAAAATGTTACGGAGTCTGTCTGAGAAAAACAGGCTGTCCTCTGCCAGTCTGGAGTCAAAGCAGAAACACAGGAATGGCCATGCACGGACCCCACCGGCCCCGGCACAAAACCCCAGCTCTGCGGTGCTGCCCGCAGGAGGCCTGCACACACCTGGGGCGGACGGAGCATCAGGGCAGGGGCCTGTTAGGCTTTAACATTAGGAGTCAGTCTCCGACACAGAAAGGGAGGTTAGGGGAGGAGAGAGGAGAAAGGGAGAGAAGGAAGAACCTGTGCAAAAATATCATCTAAATCTACAGATGCGTGAAAAGCATGTAACTGGACAAAAATATTCCCAGGACACTAGAATGGAGAAATTACAAACCTCAAACCATACCAATATAAAACAACCTTTCTACAAATGATTTACACGCTTAGAAATATAAATGATTTTGTTTAAGATCCATAAAGACTTAGAAGTCCACCACAGGACATCATGATGGTAAATGTGTCACAGCTTTTACCCCTGGCCTTGGCGCTGGCGTCAGGAGAAGCGTGTCCCCCACAACGAGGCCTTGGTGCTCCTGCCAGCGCTGGAAGCCTGGGCGGTCTTACGTACATCTGTCCACGTGTACCCCCACCGGAATTACCCCTCCGTTTGGCACTGCGCTCAGTGACATCAAATGCCTCACTGTAACTTTCTCTTAGCTACTTTTAATCAAATCAAATCAAACCACAGTTATGTGCACCGGGCCCAATTATTCCAAGGACGGATTTTTGCCCAGTTCCAAAACGACCTCAAACCTTGGCAGAGAAGTACCCTGAATATGGAAAAGCCTCTGATTTATGTCATAAATTAGAAAACACCTTCAGAAAAATTGTTAAATAATTTAAGTTCTCACTTTTAAACTTAATGTTGAAAATTAACTCATTTTTGTCATCAACTTAACCATCGACTAGTTAAAAATAATTTAAGCACTTGTTTTTAAGCACTGAATTATTTTTGTTTTTGAAGGAGGAAAAATACATACGTAAACCAGTCCATTTTCCAATGGCCCGTTTTCTATCTGTACGATGTAATAAATATTTAACTGTTATTCTTACTGCAGCCTACTTAAATATCAAAATGGTAATTTAAAATACCAAATAGTGCCTCAGGCTGAAAGGGAAACCAATGCATACAAACCTTTTGCCCCAGAGCAGTAGCTATGACCAGGGACAGCATCAATTAAATAAATAGCAAATATTAAATAAATGTTGAATAAATAAATATTTAATCAACAGTAAAAATAGCAAAGTCAATGCCTGTATAACCTGGCTTCTTGGTCCTTTTCGAAGGACTTGTTAGTTCAGATGCCTACACAAAGATCATAAATTCCGGCTCTAAAAACATTAAATACCATAACAATGAACTCTGAGTTTTCTTACCTCTCTTTCTGGACAGAACCATATCCTTTATGATTTGCATAATAACACGCCCAAGTATTGTCATGGCAACCAGGTAATACACTCTCCATGGAGTCAATGCAAGGAACCTATGGGAGCAAAAACAGACCAATCATTGCAGCTTCAGGATTTGTTTCTTTTTTCAAGAAATTAGGTTTAGGTTCTGCCACAGGAACAAAAAGTACCTTCAACAACGATTTCACTACTCAAATCACCCCACTACACCACACAGAAGTTATTTAATAGGTATCCAGGTCAACAAAGTAAAAGCGCTTGGGCCGTGTGTACCTCTGTGCCGGGCTTTCTCCTCCCACCTCTAACTTTGGGCAGAGGACCCGCTCTGTTGGACGTGGCCCAAATCTCGCTCTGCTAACAGGCGGAGAATGGGACTGACCTGAAACAGGATTACAACAGGCTGGAAGGCAGGGCTGCTGGGTCTTCTAATGCACGCAGAGAAGCTACAGTAGATGCCCTGTCCTGTCCTGTTTTTCTTTTAGACCATATTCATTTCTTTCACTAGTACACCCTGCCCACCAAGCCCTTAAAAGTAACAGTTATTAAGGACCCAAGTTGCTAACCCCTTCTCTTTAAGACCACTGCCCTTTTGTCCATCTGCCCACCTCCTCTCCAGAAACAAAGAATCTTCTATCACGAACAGCATAAGGCCACTACAGTGCTTTTAAAAAATAAGTCACAAGGAGCTTCAAGGTTTCCCTTAGAGGCTAAAGCCCATTTCACAATGGTAATTGCCCAAGCTTCCAATAATATTAACATTGATGTAATCATAATTCATAGACAAATTAACAAATATGTCATTTAATGCTAATTGCAAGGCATAATAGAGAATACAGAGAATTAAAGAACACATGAATACTGTCTTCTAGACAGTAACTTCCTCATCTGAGAGAGTAATACGGACTGAGCTAACGAAGTCCAATGCAGTGAGTCTTGGGCCCACTGAACGTGAACAAAGAGCAGAGGGAAGCAAAGAGGAGACAATTAAGTCAGGAAAAAATTTCTAGAAGTGGCACCTGAACTTTGGAAGGATAAATGCAATTCAGAGGAAAAGAGAGGCTGTTCCTATTGGAGGATGCAACATGAACAGAATATCAGAGTCAGGGAGGGGTGAGGCACGCCCAGGGCATGCAAGTGTCTGGGGCGGCCCCATCAGAAGTAAAAGGGTAAAAGAGGGAGTGGGGAGATTAGGGAGACAGTGGGGGGCTGACTGAGGCAGGCTCTTGAATGAAATGTTAGGGCTTTTGGTCTTTATACCAGCAATAGAGAGAAAGCCAAACATATAGAGCAGGAAAATGAAATCAGGGGTGATTTAGGAAAATGTGGGGGGAGTGCAGCAGAGAGCATGAGGTGAATATAGAAGAGTGGAGTCTTGGGCATTAACTACAAGGTCATGTTTAGTAAGAAGGGATCAATGTGAGACGCTGGGGAAGCTGAGGGTAGATTCCTTTACCAGAAGGAGGGCAAGCCAAGTTCTAGCTTTGGTTCTAATGTTAACCATGTGAGTGACCTAGGACAGGAAAACGAGTGGTCAGTGCTTCTTAAATACTGGCCTGCAACTGCCGCCAGGTGGACCACCTGGGAAGCTACTTAAAATACAGATTTCCAGACCCCAGGCTCTTCCTCTAGGTCCTCTGAAACAAGCAGACTAACTCCTAGTAGTTATATTCAATTTGTATTTATTTATGGACTGCCTACTGGGCCAGGCACTGTGCTACCAACTTGGAATGAATGGTGAACGAGAGCACAGAGTGAAGGAGCAGGCGTAAAAGATAACCCGTAATGCAAATACCTGTGTCTTTAGTAATGCTATTTTTTCCTCTACTAAACAACTGCTGCTTACTCTGTGTTTGCTTTTTTAAAAAACTCTGATGTTCCTTTTAATCGAGGTTGTTTCTTGGTATTTATTTTCTCTTTTAGCCTAACTCCTCCCTATCGGTTTATCATTAATCCTTGCTAACCATGCATGTGACAGACTCTTGGGGGGGTTCCCCACCTCATAGTGAAGTGGCAGCTTTCAAAATTTTTGATGGTGACCTACAGTAAGAAATTCACTTGCATGTAAGTATATACAAAAAATAGTTTCAAAAAATAATATTTATCCTTACAATCTGTAATGCCTTCTCATGCTTTCCACTGAATTCTATTACATTGTTGACTGTGACTCACTGATGGACTCAAGGCCCACAAATGAGGGGTCACTCACAGTTTGAGTCACTCTGTATCAGAGAGGGTCTGCAAATGTTTGACCAGTGCGTTTCATTTGAATGGCCTTCTTTGTAGAGTCAGGCAAAGCCCTAGAAGAAAAACTTCCCAAATGTGCAAAGGTCTTTAGATCTGGCTTGGAAACCTTGTAAATATTTTTCTAAAAAATCAAAGAAATGCAAAACCAATGGAAGCACTGAAGGTCATTACTTATTTTCTTCGTGGAAGTCACAATCTTCCAGGAACGGAAAAATTAGGTAATGGCAGGACTTCAACCCACAGCCCTGGCTTCCAGAAGACCTAATTTGAAGACATGGCCATGGTAACTCCAAAGAGCACTGGGGATGCGATGCCCTGGGGTGTCCTGGGCAAGGATCCAGGTGGCAGCCTGGCCAAGGGTCTCGGTGGTCCTTAAGAATCCTCAGGCAGATGAGAAGACAACTTCAACAATGTCTTGGGATGGTAATGCCAAACTGAACCCCAAGAATTAAGTATAGAAATTTCTAAAAAATGAAACACAAATATTAATAATTTGGATTTAGAAAACCTTGCACACCTTTGGTGTTTTAATGATTGATACCAAGACGATTCACCTTATGGCTCCAATTTAAAATATGTAGTTATATAATTTAGACTTATGATTTGAAATTAAAATCTTAGGAACACTCTGAGTTTAATTTACTCATTTTATAGAAACTGCTTAATACTTGGGAGGGCTTGGGTTGTTAGACAAAGTCGTAATTTAAAAACTTCTACTTTGGTAAACTTCAAACATACACAAAAAGAAAGACCAAGGTGTAATAAACTAATAAGCTCCAACAATTCACCATTGACGAATAATTTGCTTTTTCTAGATTCCCACCCACTAAGCTCTACCCTCACCCCACCCCAAGATTATTTGAAGCAAATCCCAAACATCATATAAGTGAATTTGCAAATATTGCCATTTATCTTCCCCCCAAAGTACTTCTTAAACTAACACCACCACCGTTGTACAGTAAAACTGTTTTACCTCTTTAAGGTCGTCGGGTGCCCTGTGAAGGCTCTCATCTCCCCATCTCCTTCTGCATACCCCACGCCCACCCCACGCCCACATGCACACACGCATGCACACGCACACACTCTACAACGCTGCCAGAGACAGGATCCGAGAAAGTCACACACTGAATTTGTGCGGTGTGCGCCTTAAGTTTCCCGTAGCTTGCAGGTCTCCTGCTATCTACCTAGCTCTCCCTCCCTCTCTCTCCTTTAGGCTTGACTATGTTTGCAGAAGAGACAGACTCCTTTGTCCAGTCAAGTTTTCCACTGTCTAAGAATCATGCACTGTTGTTCTTGTGATCGAGTTTAAAAATTTCCTCTGTCCCTTCTACAGGCTGTAAAAATTGGTAGCTGGATCTAGAGAAGTGACCAGATTTAGGTCCCACGTTTTCTTTTCTGTACGACGACAAGACAGGTGGTGGTGTGTGTCTCCATCAGGAGGCACGTACTGTCTGGGTACGTGCCTCCCGGAGTGTTCAAATACGGACACTACTGTCTGGTGTTCATATTTTTGTGACATTAGCCGCCTTTCCCAGGAGGCGCCCAGGCGACCCCCTTCCTTCATGCTGCAGGTGTTAGCCAGTCACATCCACACAGAGAAACTTCCCCTCGGGGGTGTTCGATCCTGGGAGACAGGGGTCTCACCGGAGAGGCAGGATCAATAGTTGCTTCTTTCTCTTCATTGACCAGCTTTCAATATAATGAAGCGGTTCTTTAGTGTCCCCTAAAGGTTACAAAGTTGGTTTGATTCATTCCTCTTGGGTTTTCAGTGTCATTATCAACGTGTCTGACGTGCTTTAGTCGGCTGCAGTCTTGTCCCTATTGACCCTCGGGCATCCTGTCTCGGCCGGTGGAACGTCCTCATGTTGGCTCCTACCCCCTTAGTAATCTTTGAAGATGACATGCTTCAAGCGAACAGAGAAAATACAAATTTTACAAATTTATTTTAAATGTTTAGGAGTATGACTAACCTTTCTAATGAAACCAATCACCCACCAAAGACTATCTTGGAAATCGTTGTTAAACAAAATAGATTATGCTAGCTAAAGTGGAACACTCAAAGACAAGTATGGGTTTTGAATATATGATCTTACTAAACCAAAATTTATTTTTAAAAAAGTGAAACTGTTCCCAACCAATCTTTTCTTTATATGAAACTGTCTTATAGGACATCGAATGTGCCCCTGGCTGCCGGCCCTCCGAGCTCTGACGCTGGCCCTCTGTGGTGCCACCCGGACAGACGCTGCAGCCCCGTGAACCCCTCAGTTAGCATCGCCCGCCTCTCCTGAAATACACCTTCCATCAGGAAGCTCGGCCTGCCTCGCAGCACCCCGTTCCCTGCAGTTACGAGGGAAAGGGTGACTCTGTTCTCATCCCACAGTGAGGATCAGTCAGAGCCGGACTGGCTGCGGGGAACGCACCGACGACCGGATCTCAGCCTGCCCCACCGAGCCAGACGCAGACAGGTAACAGCTGTGTTAACCTCAGGACTATTCAAAACGCTGTGGGAGCAGAGAGGAGAGCTGAGAAGCATATAAGGAAGTCAGAGAAAATGCTCGAGAGAAGGTGGTCTTCAAGCTTTGACTGCCCAGAGAAGCCGGACTTTGCCAGGTGGAAAGAGACAAATGTGTTCCGGGTTGGGGAACAGCATAAGCAGAGGGAACTGCATGAGTTCAGGGAGGCTAGAACACAAGAGTGAGAAAGCTCTCCATGGCACTTTGCCTCCTTCAGCCTATTGGTGCTGGTTCTGCCTCCCAGAACCAAATTGTGGCTGAATAATAAAGCTGGTATCTGGTGCCAGCACTATTCTAAGGACTTCACATGTGCCTCT